TGCTTAAAAAAGAAAAATGAGATGCAATATTACTTCAAAAAATATAAAGTTGATTATAAATTATTATTATTAAATCTAAATTATAATAAAGAGTCCATTCTTGAATGAGAGCCATTGAAGAATTAGATAATTCAAAAATTTTAATATCATATTTCTAAATATCACAATTATTAATAGTTAATTAAAGAAAATGAGGATCAAAAATTTGAGCTGCTTTAAAAAGAGAATGAGAAGAATATGAATTAAAATGATCAAAAAATTTTTTTTGCGCTGCACTAAAAGCAGATTGAAAAATAAAATTATAAGCAGAAGAATCAGAATTATACTTAAGAATTACTGAAGTAATATGGTATCCAAAATCATTGACAGAAATGCCATTTGAAATAAAAGTTTATAATTATTTAATGCATCCTTTTACAAAAGAAAAAAGAGGATCACATTCAGATAGAAAAATCTAAATCTGAAATAAATTATTATGCTTGATATTGAATAAATGCTAAATAATTTTAATATAAGCATTATTATTTGAATCATTAAAAATAGTATTAATAGTATCAATTGTTTCTGTTTTTTCTTGTTGTTCTTGTTCTTCTTTATAAAATTCACATATATATTCCAAATAATCATAAACATAAAAAGCTATTTCAAATCAAGATTTTACCAAGTGATATTTGATAAAGATATAAACTGTAATGTCAATATGATATCAGTAGCTAGAGATTCTTGATAGAAAATTCTTGAATTCCATGCTGAATTAAATAATTTATATAACAATTATGATAAATTTTGGAGTAAATGAAAGTTTTTTTGATATTTGTTAACAGCTTCTTTACAATATCAAAATGTACAATTGAAATCCATGCTTCACTTTAATAAATAAATAAATATAAATTATTTAATTTATATTAAAATTATAAAATTGTACAAATACTAATCTAATCAAGCTTAAAATATGTGCAGGACAAGTATTATACTTAAGTTGTGGCATTAATGAATGTAAAATCTCTTGTAATATTTTTTCATATATATAGCTAAATCAGATAGGAAAAGTCAAGTCATGAAGCTAAGAAAGGAATAGACCATTCAGTCAAAATTTGAACTACTAATTGTCTAATAGTTGTATTATTAACTGTTTGCAAGTAATTAACTGATATAAACTTTGTTGAATTGCAATAACAGAATAATGTGTTTACAACACTACAAGCTCAAGAATCTGTAGTTTTATCAATAATAATTGCTACAGGTTTTCCTTGAAACTCAGTTTGCAATACTTGGATGTGGTTCTCAAATAAGTTGGGCAAATATCTGTGACACAAAGTATCAGCAGCAGGAATAGTACCATCTCCACGACAATAAGTTTCCAAAAATGACCAAAATTTATCAACTTTTTCAAGAGGAATATTTGCATTAATCCATGTTTTAAGAAACTCATTTATTACAAATTTTTTGGTCTCTGCAGCTCATATAACTGTTTGTATACCTTGTTGCCATTTGCGTCATTCATTATCAATATGTTCATTTTTTCTATTGTATGTTTTTTTGGTACGTAAATAAGAGATGATAAAAGAAATATTATCATAACTGATAGCACAATAGCAGAAATGACACATGAGAATGGAATTTTCAGCATAAAAGTTATCAGGATATTTCATGCATGAGATGCTGCTGTGATTTTTTTGTTGGGTGGCATTTGACGTGTCATAGTTAGAAAGAAGCAAAACACGTAATCTGAATAAATACCCCTGTTATATGCACACTGATGCATGCATGACAAAAATAGTAATATTTAAATTATGGAAAAATTTGGCTAATCGGAAAAAATTTGGTTTCAAATTTTTCCGGGTCCCTGACCTAACCACGGTAAAATCGTCGGACACGTGACTTTTTACGGGGTAAACCAATCAAATCGCAAGATATGAATATTAATAGCATTTTGATTAGGAATTAAGTTAATGTTAAGGCCAGAGTTCAGATTATATTATACGTGAGAAGATATACAGTAAAATTTTGCAAAGAACCTTTTTTATTAGAGCACAGAAAGAAAGCTATTTTTCTGCTTTGAATTTTTTCATTACACAGTGTCCTTGCGATTTGATTGGTTTACCCCTTAAAAATGTCATGTAACTGAAATTTCTTTTGCCGGGTATTATTGATCATAATACATGTAACTTTAAATTCGTGAGCCCATAGTTCCTCGCTTAGATCAACATCTAACACCATTTCATGAGTATATTTCTTAGTCGTGTACTCCTTTTAATTTTGTTTATTACACTTTCGATGCCCAGTCAATTTCTTGAGAAACGTATAACTTTAGAATTCTAAAACGAAGTTTCTTGACAGTAATGTCCTTATTCTCCCCAAATATCCCTTTATTACTGTTATTTAGAAATGCTAAAACTACTGAAAAGATGTATATATACTGTAGTGTCGATTTGATTTATGAAAAAGGCAGGATATTAACCTTTGGCGATATGACCTAATAAAATAAATAAAAAAATAATTTACCTGTAATAGCTACTTTATTTGTGGAAATACGGTTATTTGATTATCTTCAAAGTTTTCGTACAAGTGACTTTTGATATTGGAAGAACTCCACTCCAAATAAACCATAGTTAGTCTGTGTTTCAATTTTGCGGAGATTGAGTAAACCCGGCCATCAAAGAATTGCTTTGTTTTTTAATCTGAATTGTTGTAGTTTTCGTAAAAATTAGCATGGAGACCCTTAGAACAGTTAGAGAATTCCTCTTCTTGTAAACCATTTGTCTAAGCGTCCTACCTTTCGAGTTATGCCCTAATTTCATTATATTCTTGGAGGTAGCGTAACACTACTGTTACAGAAGTAACCATAAATTCCATGATTCCTTAACATCCTTCTAATATGAGAATCGTGACTACATTTGAATTGCAATTTTCATAACAATTGATTATCAACAACAAACACGGTTTCTGCAGCAATTAGTATATCGTGATTATCATCGACAAATTAGTTATAAGACACTTCGAGAACGACGCAACAATCAAAATCTAAAACAAAACTTTCACGACAAATAATGTCTCACGCCTCGTAGTATCTGACACCAGTTATCGCAACCATCTACATTGTGTCCATTGTTATCAGAATAATTAGAATAATTATATAACCCATTTTGATGAATGTAAATAGATTTACGATCAACAATTAAACATCTGACATCAGAAATCGTTACCGTAGTAACATACAATTTGTGTCCAGCACCGATATCTCCATAATTCTTGGACTAATGTCCAATACCATTTGATAAGTTTAATTATGCCCTTAACAATTTTTGGTTGTTCAAGTTTTGATATTCAGCTAATCTCTTCAGAAACATACATCTTTAGTAATTTTCCGTTAAATCGAAGTTTCTTAAACCTTCGTGTTCTTATTTTCCTTACTATCCCTTTGTTATTCCCGAGCATATTGTCTATTAGCTTATTGTTATGAGAAAGTTCTGGCATAAATAATATAGATATAGCATTGTTACATTTGTATAAAAGGGTCAAGTATTGACCTCTAGAGAATGATATGTTCTAATTAAATAAATACTTCCTCTAATTTTAAATAATAGATAACCTCTTAATTGAATAATATTTTGAAAACTATTTAAACCAAATTAAATCTATCATAAAACAAGAATATTTCGATTAGAATAATTGAGCATTGCGTTGAGTTAATGTTCTGCGTTATATTGACATTAAATTTATAATTCCAATATTAATTAAAAAATTATGAAAATTTCTCTTTGCAAGATACGCCAGTTAATAACAAAGTTTATCATTTATAATCAAAACAAGTATCGAATCTTACATAGTTGTATACAGCAGCGCGTAAACTATTTGCATGCCATTTTTGCTATAAAATAAATCAAATTCTATATAAAAATCTAAATGATCAGTATTTGATTTCTAAAATATAACTTCACGATTAACCTATAAAGAAACATCAGTCACCACAGTATTCATAAAATCCTCATTGAGAAACTCTTCAATTTTTCAAGATCTACCGGTTTATTTGCTAGACTACAACCATCAATTCGTACAATTTTACCTGATATGGGTGACATGCAATCGACATCATGCTTTCTTTGCGAGGGTTATGGTTTGAAACATACGCATATCGCCAGCCTTCAATTGGGTCGTTGTAATCAATGTTTGAAAGATCGGTTAACACTAACTCCCAGTGGGTTTTCGCGCGCCGACTTTCGTTAAAATTGGACGAGCGAGCTAATATCAAGGAAAGAATAATCGATTAAGAATGTGGAATTCAGGCGTGAATCATCACTTATGTTAATTATTTAAACCTTGACTTCTTTATTTCGTCAAGTTTTTATAGTTCCATGGGCGAAGTTTTGGTTCGAATTTATTATCTTCAAAGTTCTCTGATTTTTGCTCAATCAGATTATTATAGTTTTTTGGAAATCCCTGCTCGCTCTTGTTCATTCCATTATTGTTGGTTTTAGGGTACGAAGGTTCCGATTCGTACCCGTCTTCAAAGAATTTGATCAAGCTTTTAATGTTCCATGGGCGAAATTTGGGTTCGCAATTGTAGGCGTCATCTTTATTCTTCATTTTTTATTTGTCTATGAAAAATTTATGTAAAAATTTCTATGTTTATATATGTAAAATAAAGGTAATAAAGTTATTATGCAATATATTTAGATTTGGTGCTATATAATCAATATTTTTGGACTAATTATATATTTTTGCCCATCATACTAACACGCGTTAGTTAGTTCTTTTAATTCAGATAATGATGCATAATGATTAATCGATTAATCGCTTGTGCTCACTCGTATCGAATCAAATGTGTGTTTATGTTGATTGATTTTAATCTGGCAAATTTTTATATTTAAATTTAATTATAATCCTATAAAAATAACATATTTGAATTTGTAGCTTTTATTCTGCACGCAAAATCTTATATTTAATTATCGCTAAACTGCTTAGTTCTTAAAAAACTCAACCCTTAATATAATGCTATTTTAAAAATGTTGAGACAACTGATCAAAATTTAAATTTTCTTCGAAAGTTTGATACGCTGTATCGATATCAGTAATTGAAGATAATGGGCCAGCAGGAGGATATTCACAAAAAGAACCGTAGTTGGAAATGAATGAAGATGAATGGTCAGATTCTGAAAAGAGATTCTCTGAAAACTCATTTACGGTTGTTATATGACTGTAATATACACCATCATTATCGATCATCGGATTTTGTTGGATGATATTGATATTTAGTTCATCCTGTTGCTCGAAATTATTGGATGGATTTTGAATTATTGGTTCTGGATTCTTAATTTGATCTCCTAATGAATCCGACTTTCTTTTTTGTTCACTCCACGAAAATACAAATACATTGAAATCATTATTTTTTGTGTCCTTTTTATGTCCTTTCTTTGGCCCTGGTTTTTTTTTACCAGTTGCCTCAACATGTTTATTAAACTTATTTGGTTTGTATTGATAGGTTGGATAAAGTTTCTTATGCTTTTGCTTGGCAATCTGCCCCAACAAAGTCCAAGCATGACGTTCATCTTTCGTTAATCCTTTCCAGTTTAAAGAGGCCTTAGGGGATGTTGTTACTGCCGATAGATTTTGGCCTTTCCAAGCTTGAAAATTTTTATTATAGAGAATCCATGCGTTCGGAGGACGTGGTGGCGTTTTGCCTTGCATAATTTTTGGTTCAATAAGAAGTTCAATGCTTAATTTGAGGTGTGGTTCAATGAGGTCGAGATATTGTTTGATAGAGGGGTCGTCGATTTCAAGATTTTTGTCGCTTAAAATCGTCGTCATCTTATTTGTTTTTTGTGTTTGAAGCGATGAGAGATTGAGTAGACGCATTTCTGACTTTCTTTTATACCGATTTTTCGTTTAATTGATTTAATATGTTTGTTATTTGGTCTTATTGTTATTATGTTTGTTTTCTAAAAAATCTTTCGCACGCAAAAAAGTCGCGTCTTTGAATTCCGCTTATTTCATTTCGCTTTATTGTTTTTACAATCAACATTTTCTTTATTAAGTCAGCAATATCAGAAGTCCAAGTAATAATTATAAGTTTAAAGATTCTTCTCCGATTACTTATAAAAAATTTGGGTATATTTTTCTGATCTTATTGTATAATCCGTACGCATCTCAATGTTTAACAATTTTAAACGATCCGATCCATTATTATTTGTTTAATAAGTTCGCTTGAGTCGGCGCAATGCGACATGTGCTAACATATACATTCAAATTTAGGCGTGATTTACATCCATAATGAATGGCGCTAGACTCTTTTAAATCTCAGTCCGTTTGGTTGTCCAAATCAGTATTTTTTACTCATTTTTTATGACTTCACTGTAGAAGAATTCTTTACCCATCTTTTAACAACGGACTTTTTATTTGACAAATTACCAACGAACAAAAGTCAACAGACACCAACCAAATATATCAATTTAACAACTCAGTGAAATATATATGGATATGTGTTTTGATATCATAAAAGTTTTCAGTGTTAACTTTGGTATCTGCATTGTTTCCTAATTTGGCATCTTAGGCTATCTTGTATCATCAATAGCGACCGTTATGGTAATCTGATTGGTGATTTTTAAGCGTTGTATTGTGCGCATAAAGTCTTCTTCTACGGAGATAAAACTTAAATATACATTTATTTATTTGATTATCATTTACTCATTTTCTGATATTTAGAGAGAGGAATAAGTATAAAAAGTGCATCTCAACTTGAGACTTGGGCCATACAAAATTAATTTGTTGGTTCTCATAACATAAAAATGTAAAAGTGACCCGCATGCCCGGCTTTTAAATTTATTTTCTAAAAAGCTTACATACTTTTTGTCTCAAAAAAATATAAAACCATAAATTTTTTTTCAATATTTTAAAAATCCCACCCGGGAGTTTTTATAATAAATAACATAAATTTTCTTTAAAGGCTTGCGAAAATTGACCCGGCCGGGTTATGAGAAACAATAAATTTACTTTGCTTGGCCTTAGTCTAGCATTCAGTTAAATTTTAGAATACGAAATAGAAATATACAGCAAAATTTTAATTTACAATTTTGAGAAATTCTACATACTAACACACAATGACTCTTTCGCTTGTATTCACATACTTCTATTCGCATCATTTGTATTCATGCTAACAAATATTTCGTGAACTTGGATCCTTTCTTAATTAATATGTCATGGTATGACTCCTAAGCATTTGTTGAAGTCACTTGCAAAAGGATGGAAGAATGTTGTCAAGCTCAGAGAGCCCACTGTTTTGTATTCCGCATGTAATATCTTATGAGAATGGCGGAGACCAGGGCACTGATGAAACGCTTCTTGGATAATATTATCACAAATAAATCTTCGATGTTCTGTGCATGGCTTGGATAATCGTGTCGCGGGTTTTTGAATTGTAGATTTTACTCATCCAAGTACTCATGACATGTACAGTACAGAAGATAATGTCACATTCTTGCTCGTTATTTTGAGGATCCGGAAATGCGATTGCGATGCTATTTGCTTTGACATTGCTCTTATCGGCGAGAAAATATTGTGGTTTCCAGCCTTGCACAAATTGTCGAATTATGATTAATACCTCTGCCACTGTATCACTATCCTCATTACTTATGAAGAAGTGCAATCCTACATCCCAGCGCCATAACTGTTGCGAATATGTAGTGTGAACAGACGCCAGTCGCGTTTATTGGTTTTGTGGATAGAATAGATAAGAGTTAACCAACCAAAACGCAGTAGTTTTTTGACTTGTTCGGGATGCACGAAAATAACACCTTTGGAGGATCGTCGAGGAATTTCGTAGCATTCGACATGATATTTTTGGTTTTTTTAAAAAGGAAACGCGTCATTGATATCTGCTTCTAGCTCGGCGTTACCAAGATTGGTATTGTGGGATTGGTGAATTTTGTACTTGATGTTAATTACCTCTCTTCACCTTAACTCTTTAACGCTTGAGCAAAGATTTAGTTCATTTGATGCGTATTCCTTAATTGCCTCGACAATTGCCAGTGATGGATAATTTTTTATCGCTTCCTGTTCTACCAGATTTAGAATGACTTGTGATTGTTTGAGTCTCTCATTTTTCTCTAACCTGTGAGTATCGGGACACTTCTGAGATCGTTCAATTCTTACTTTTGTTCTGCAACAAACAGATATATTTTTTATTTTCATGGAACGTTTATCACTTGTAACGTCTTCTCTACGCGTGCTTGATTTTTTGTGGTTATTGAATCAGAAAGTGAAAACTTTCCATGAATCGTTGTTAATGTGATGTATCGAATAATAATAAATCCACACATTCGACATCAAAGGCCACCATTCATTGTCAAATTCTAGCATTGGAAGCTCAATTGGTTAAGAGACATTGAAGAATCCACACATTCGACATCAAAGGCCACCATTCATTGTCAAATTCTAGCACCGGAAGCTCGATTGGTTGAGAGACATTGAAGAGAAGAACACGTTTTGAAAAAAATTGAAAATATTTATCTTGAATTGCTTATGTCCTGGAAAAATTTTACGAAAGAAACTTTATATATTAATTTTCATATATTATTACATATATTAATGTTCTTATCTATACCAGCTGATATAAAATCAAAAAATTGAATACCTGCTTATATGAGTTCAGGGTATTAAGTGGAAACCCATGCTATATTTATAGCTTTCGATAATTACGTCGAGATTATAACTGGCAAACTGCCATTCGATATATATCTTATAAGCAACATTTGTAAAGAAGTACATGTATGACTAATGATATGACAAAAAGTTTCGTCATTCGAAAATGACGAACCTTTCGTAAGTAAAAATGTCAGTGCGAATAAATAATTTTTGTAACGTTTTACATGTACATATATAATTAAACTTGAATGTAACCCATGTACCGTATGTAGTAAATGTCTGAAATTTTTGACTAAAATTATGCAAATCATGAAGATCATTTGGCCAAAATTATCATAAATTCTTATAACTCGTGAGCTTTTAAAAAGTAATGAATAAAATAGAATTATGTTATATTACATATATAGTAATTATCTATCACAAAAAAGGAGAAGCTTTATTTGAAGAACGAAAAAAATCCTTTATTAAAAGCTTTGTAATTTGCGGTATCGGTATTGTTTTTCCTGTAGAAAAAAATCTCAGTTAAGTATCGTTTGACAAATGACTTCGTCACGGTCATTCGTCTTCATAAACATAGTTACGCCAGGTATCATTAAATACGATCTCCAAATAATGTCACATAACGAAACAAACACCAGAAATATTAAGAAATTATTAAATAACAGACATAATAATTATTTCAATATAATAAATACTAATTTGCTAGGTTCACTTTTGAAGATTATGCCGTAAAGGATGAAATTCTTTTCCAACAAGATAATGAACCGAAATACCTTTCTGGAAAGCAAAAAATTGGTTTTGTGAAAATGAGATCGCAATTCTCAGTTCAGGCTCCTGACTTGAATCCTATTTGAAAATCTATGGATTCATGTCGAAATAATCTTGCAAAAGACTTCCTAGCTCTTTCTAATACCTATGAACTGTGAAATTGCTTGGAATGATATTTACATTTTTTCGAAGATTAAGTGAATCAATGCTAGAACAATTACGGAAGGGATACAAGCAAATCCTAGTTTATTGTTAATATTTCCTTAAGAAACAATTTCTTGAACATTTCGGTCATATTATACTATACACAAACAAATACAAAAAGTTTTTATTTTTTTATTTTGATTGTATCAAAAATAAATTTATAGGAATTTTTTTTTGATATTTTATTGAAAGTAATTTAATTGTTTTTAATCATCATGGACAATTCTTCAATGGCGAGATATTTCAATATCCCAATTTTTTTGTGTATACGATTTCAAATATGAACCATTATATTAAACGAATCGAATAGTCCTATTTGTGTCTGATTTGGGCCGTTGAACGTTGAGATATCGCGCGCCAAAGTTACCGGATTCTCAATTTTAAGCACCCGATTTTTTAAAATCACATCATGATAATTATGCAAATAACACATTATAAACCATATAAATTTTAGCAAATCTAAATATGCAGCAATATATGTATGGCCGGGGACATAAATAGAATTACACAATAGTAATGGTTGTGAGTGATTCGGCATAGAGATTCACGTATTTGAAAGGGGTATAAATGGACAAAAAGGTAAACTGATTGTTCTAGAAAATTAAGAGAGATAACTGAGGTTAGGATATAAGGAGGCAGGATGTAAATTGGTAGAATGTATTCTAAATATTCAAATCAGTAACAACTTTATCTCAATATTTACAAGATTAATCATCGGAGTTATTATTAAAAAATCACATATTTGCCATGGGTAGCAATCAATTACTAATATACACTATCAATTGTCTGCCCTGTTTTCAGGTTATGATTAACCGCATATCTGCGGCGGCTAAGTGAACATACGATTGATAATTCGCATAACTTTTACAGTCGACCGCCAACAGTGTTATTGAGCGACACAGTTGACTTCAAGTAAAATTTTTGCGGGTTCAATCCCTAAAATTTTTAATTTAAAGTGATATAATCAATTTGTTTACTCCCGTCTCATAAGTCACTGACCACACCCTAAATTTTTTATTAAATCGCGGATAACTCCACATCCAAGGCGCCCATACACATGAAATTTTTATTGAAGTTAGTAGACTTCCTGAATAATATGCCCATAAATTTTCGCTACACATTAGCTAGTAAAATCATTAAACTATTTAGAACGCATTGTAATGCAATTGGAAGCGTAAAAATCAAGCTTCATGACATGTAAATTTAAAATTATAGTACAAAATAACTTGTTTAGCAAGTTTATAAAATTTATATTAGATTGAAAAGGTATGATAAAAACTTCATAATAAAAAAAAAGATTACGCAAATAGCTTGCTCCGTTGTGGCGTTATTGAATTTTAAACATTATCTATGCATTTTTCCCGATCGGCAACATAAATCCAATCACATGCGCATACATTCATAATATAACGTGCATCCGGCATTTTTGCTTACTAAAAACTTTATAGAAACTCGCGCTTTCATTTTTTGCTTCATTAGTAAATATGGCTCAATTCTAAGAATTAACTGAATTCGAACGAGGAGTAATTATTGGAGGCTGGATATTTGGATATTCAGAACGTGAAATTGAAGAGAAAACTGGCCATCCAAAGACTATAATACATGATACAATAGAAAGATATTGTGAAACTGGCACTGCAACTCCTGTCTCATGCACTGGAAGACCATCAATCTTAACTGATAGAGACAAGCATCACATTGTAAGAATTATTCGATCCAATCATCAGCAAACTACCAGACAAGTTCACAATAGCTTTATGGAAATAACTGGAACAGCAGTCAGTCTTTCAACAATTAAAAGGGTTTTGTATGATGCACTTGATATCACCAAGAACTGACTGGATTGATTGTGGTAGTGTTGAGATCACAAGATATGGAATGAAGAGAAGTGATATGGAGTGATGAATCTCATTTCAAGTTGTTTAGAAATGATGGCAGAACTCGTGTTTGGAGGCAGCAGAAGAAAAGATATGATATTGATTGTATTATTCCGATTGTCAAACATGATGGTGGTGGTGTTGTGATGTGGGGTTGCTTTACCTGGAATTGTTTAGATCCCTTGATACATCTTGAAGGAGCTATAAATAGTCAAAGATATATTGAAGAAGTTCTGGAAAGTCAGCTAGTTCCATTTATGAAGAGGTGTGAAAAAGTATGAATTTCAACAGGATAATGCTCCAATTCATAATATTAAAGTAACAATGAGTTTCTTGAAAACTCAGGAATAATAGTAATGAAATGGCCTGGACAAGTCCAGATCTCAATCCTATTGAACGCCTATGGGATGAACTTGAATGCTATATTCGAAAATGAGAGCCATCTCCAAAAAATGAAAGAGAATTAATAGTATTTCTTCAAGATGAGTGAGAAAAAATCACAGATAACATATATCAAAATTTAATTCTTAGTATAAACAAGAGGATTTAAAGGCTAATGGATATGCAACCAAGTATTAATAAATATTTAACAATTGTTTTGCTTCGCAATAATGTTTATTACCATCCTGAATGCCTTTTTATTAAAAATTTGTCACATTTTCATATAATAAATTTAAAAATTAATCCTCAACAACAAGTTCAGATTTCTTTCTGAAATTTGGGAATTTGATAAAGGTCTTCACACATTTTCAAATAAATATATATTTGCAGGGTGTTGTGAAAATTTTAATTTTTAAATATTCAGATAACGAAACACGATGAATTCGGTTGCATTTAATTGCATTTGGATGCTTCTTCACGGAGTTATTCGAGATTTAATAAAATTTAGAGGGTGGTCGGTGACATGAATTTATAGTTTCATGAAATTCTGTATCTCTTTCTACATTTGGTTTTTCTAAATTCAAATATCATTTAAAATATTAACATAATATAAATATAACCAAAACTAAAACCAGGCTGTGTTCATTGAAATTATGACTAGACTGAAATGTGTTCATTTTCATTATAGACATGCATGGCAGCGATGTAATTGTTAAAATCTATCATGAGGTATCTTATGATAACAAATTACTTTTCAAAATTGTGCTGAGTTTTTTTAGATGTGGTGTTACGCCAATGATTTAATTTATAATTTTTGGTTTAAAGATTTATAAATGCAAATTATCGTTATAGTTATCGTTATTCCATTGCATGCATGACACATGTATTGCACTCATTTGTTGGTTAAATGTATTATTTCCGCTGCGCATTAATGCGCGCATAATCGAAAATTTCCATTGTATCATGCCGTTCCCAAGTGGCGTGAGAAAATAATTTTGCAACCGTAACAATAAAAAGGGGAATCTTCTACAAAAGCCAAGCAGTTCTATCGAAATAATTTGCTTGCTTTTTCTGTCATCCCCTATATAAATTTTGTAAAATAATTAAGGTGAGTTTAGGCTACGAACACAGCTTCGTAGATGAATAATGTGTTTCAAATTTTACTTTGCGTTTAAAGGAATTTGCATAAAATATGCATTATTAGACTAAGTCCCAACTAGATACAGCTAATAAAATATGTATTTGGAGGATTTTAACTGTATATACCTTGAAACAATTTTAGATATTATTCAATATTTCTACGACAATTGTTTAAAGATTCGAAAGTATTAAAACTTTTACCTTAAGACTAATAAAAATAGTAAAATATATAATTTTAGTTTTTAACAAAAAAAGACATAAAATTAAATAGAAAACGAATATACATTAATAATTTATATTTAAGAATTAATAATAAATTCTCAATTTATTTATTTACTATTATAAAATCATATTAAGTTATAACTATATTATAAGTATTTCATAATTAAAAACTACTAATTACTATTAGTAATAATGTAAATTAATATAACAAGTATTAATAAAATTTATAAAGAAAATCCTCAGCTCATTTATTTACTTTAAAATTTATTATTTAGTAAATATACAGTGTGTTGCGAAAAAAATGGCGCAAAAATTGAAATATTAGTTTTTTGAATAACAAAAGAAAAACGCGTTTGTTTACATGACTTTTATATTTATATAAGTTTATTTACTTGTCATTAATTACATTTGCAAAAATAAAATGTCCTTCTCCTTGATTAGTTTCTCACTTGAACCTTGTAAACATGATCAACACAAAGCTCGAAGCACAGCATCAAACAATTTTATATTATTGGCTAAATGGATTTTATTCTGTCAAAGAAATACACCAAAATACAATGATTCTCCTTTGAACTATTCAACATAATCTTAAAAAACTCAAAGCAATGAAGACCATCAAATATAAGAGTGGTAATGGTCATTCACCTAAGATTACACAAAATATATCCTGTTTGATCAGACAATTAGTTTACTATAACTCAGCCATGACAACTCATCAACTTGCAATCAAAATTCAAGAAGCTTATAGCATATCTATTTCACATACCAATATTTGGCAATACATAAAGAAGAAGGAATACAAAAGTATCATACCATTTGCTATTCCAATACTCACTAGTAATTATATTAATACTTGAAAAGCATGGACACAAGCTCACTTGAATGCTAACTGGAATTATATTATCTTCACAAATGAAATGATCTTTAATTTGTTTTATAATAAAATAACATAATGATATAAGAATGAGAAAAAACTGACTAGAAAATTACTAAAATTATGACAAAAAGTAATAACTTGAAATGGAATTTTAATAAATAACAAAATGTTCTTGTTTTGCTTTACAAACATAATGGATAATTTCTTTTATAAAAATATTTTGCAAATCCAGCTTCTTCTATTTGACTAACAGTTGTATAATAGAAGATGATATTTGCAGTAAGATAATAATCCTAAGCATACTTCATGTATTATAAAGGATTTTTTTATCTCAAAATAATATTCATATAATAGAGTTATTATTTAACAATCTTAATCTGAATTTCATCAAGAATATATGACAAATTATTAAAAAAAAATATGAAAAAAGAATATCTAAAGATATTAGTAAGTTAAAGAAATTTATAATAGAAGAATAAAATAAAATTTCTTGAGATGTTATATAAAATTAATTAGATCTATAAAAAATCATTGTGAACTAATATTACAAAAAAATAAGAATAGAATTTTGTATTAAAATTTTTATACTTAATAAAATAGTTTATAAATTTTAAAATAAATTCACTTTTATTTATCTTAATTAGATAATTATTAAAATATATAAGTTTATTTGTATGTCATTTTTTTCATAACATACTATATAAGAGTAAATAAATATGACTTTAATTTATAAGATAATTTATTCTATTATAAAACTGAAAATATTATTAGTAAAAATTATTTAAATTAATTTATAATCTTTAGATAATCAAAAACTTAATATAATTATCTTAATATTATTTTATTATTTCTTCAATTCAAAATATAAATTAAATAAAGCTACTTAACTATATATAATATTTTTTATTTTTAAAATACTAAAATACTTATAAAAGTTTTTAAAAATCTGAAAATTTAATTATATATTCAAAGATAATAAATTATTATTATAATAAATATTTATATATCTAATTTTTAATAAATAATTTATTATACTATCTTTAAACTTAATATTTTGGAATCTACTAATAAAATTAAATATAAAATTTATAATTTAATTTAACAGAATCTAAAAAATCAAATAATATATCTTATACTTGATTTTCTTTACTAAATTTCAAGATATAAAGTCTTAAAAAATTATGTAGTCCAGTGCAAAAATATAGATACATGAACATACTATATATAAATTTTTTTTAAAAGTAAAGTATTTATAATTTTAATTATTTAGATATAATTATATGCTATTTAAGAATATTTTTTAATATTAATTTTAATTATTTTATATAAAAAATATATAATTATAATAATTTTGATTTCAAAAATATAAAAATTTTACATAATAGAATTTTCAAAATTTATTATATAAATTTATTCAAAAATTTTAAAATATATAATCTTTAAAACTTAATTTCTTTATAATTAGTAATTCAATTTGA